TAATGTCGCTCCCGTTTTTGAAAACGGAAGAGAAACGGCCGATATGTCGTTTTCGATTATAACTTTAAATATTTTTCTACTCTTTCAAATCGTTACGCTGTCTTGTTTAATTTAAGCTATATACGAGAACGGATTTTATCATTTGTCAGTTAAATCACTGTCAACTGCAACCACGAGTCGCCATTTTGAATCTTATATATAAAGAAAGAGGTTACACAATCTTAGAACTAGACGAGAATTACAACAAATGAATAACATCTAATCACATAGAGGCATTATAGCCACAACTTGGTCTCATCTTTGCATTGCCAATAATTCTTTTTATTTAGGTTCATTTGATAATTGGAAGACATACAATTTGTTGGTGATTAGTATTTTCAAGTAAGCTAATAATAATAACAACGGTTCTTTTCGGCATCAAATAGCAACAAAAGATTTTTATGTATAATAGGTTTATTCACAAGTCCCATTTCAAAGAGGGGCGAAAACATGAGTTCCTATGAAAAAGTACTAAGTGACTTAGATGACATATATTTGGCGGTCTTAAAAATATGATGGTTGATAATTCACAATTCAATTTATATCTATACTAATATTATAAAGAGGAAAGATTTGTTTGTTTGTTTGTTTCGAATAGGCTCCGAAACTACTGGACCGATTTGAAAAATTATTTTTCGATTAGAAGCCGACATTGTCCCTGATGAACATAGGCTACTTTTTTTTTTTTTTTTTTTTGTTTCATATATGTTTTAATGTTTCCGAAGCGAAGCGAGGGCGGGTCGCTAGTCGTATATAAAAATCAATAATGATTACATTACTACTATTATATTAGCAATGCAAAGATAATTGGAACGAATATTTCACCGAGAACATTGATAAGGCAAAAATCACAATCTGTGCGTTATTAATTCACTACCTACGATCTCATTTAAAAGATATTTATTTACATTAGAAATTAAACCTGAAACTACATTAGTCATACATTTTGGCACGTCTCCGATATGTATAGCTGTAATACTAACAGGATCCAACACGTAGCGTCCATATCGCTAATTATTAGTGAGAATACAATTGCATGAATTCAGCCACCGTTATTTATCAGCTATCATAGGCAAGAATAAGTACAACAAAATCTTAATCGCGCTAATCCAATTATTTTCGAAATATTCCATCCACGAAGCATTATTACCTGCTCGATGGAAGATCTTTCCATATTTTTTCAATAAAAGCTCGTGACATTGAGGACACTGTGTTAATTAGGAGCTTGTGTTGCAAATTTGTCATAAAAACGTCATTAGCGCGATTTAGGTTTCCGATCTTCTATCTTATTATTACATATACTAAAAATACAATATACTCGTAGTACGATCTCACTCTCTGTTTTCTATTACGTGGCTCAAAACAACAATCTTTTTACGACAGGCACATTCATTTTATTTGACAGCAGTCAATTAAATTTACAGATAAATTGATTTCTTGCCGTTTTAATATGGCGAGGCTTAAAAGGTGTGGTCCGTGTGTCCCTAATGTAGTTTCAGTTTGATAGTATTGTAGATTATATTTAAACAGGAAGTGAATATTCGATTTATATTAACGATAAGCGTTTTTTATTCTAATTAAGGTAATAATGTTAATTTTAGCTAATTCGATAAACCGCAAATGCGAAATATGTTGAATTAAATGCTTTCTACGAATTAAGCAAAGGAAAAAAAAAACATTTCATTAAAATTTTCAATCGATTTATCATTAGTTAACAAATTACAAAATCATTCGCTATGTCAAAATCCTAACAAAAATACTCCTTTCCGCTTAAAAGTAATTTAATTCAACAAAAAAAAACCCATCACAAACACCCCTTCGCTCGGTTTATTTCGTGATTCCAATTAAAACACTATTTGCTAATGCCGAAAAAGGCTTGTTTGGCACTTAGGTTTTCTTGTTAATTACTTTATTATTATTGTAAATAAATCTACATTATTTTAAGTGATTTCGAGAAAAAAGCATTAATATTCGTGCTACACGGAATGGTGCTTATTTTTATAATTATTACACTATATGTAATTTTACTAAAAAAAGTTACAATTTAGAAACCACTAAAGACTAATTAATGATCTAAATTTTACTAAATTCAAAGAATTTTTACTAAGTTAAAAGTTTTTTTATTTTTATTATTGGTTTATTAAATATTTAACGAGCTATTGGTCTTTAATAAAATTTTATTTTATTAATTGCTAAATAGAGTTTTTATTATACAATTTAAATAATGATTTGAAGACAAACCTTTTTTTTTTAATGTCATGAAAATGAGCAATTTTTACCTAAAAGTTAAAAATACTGATTAAGTTTCAATCGTGCTTTACCAGACTTGTTTCTTGTCCACGTAAATCTGAACGGTACCGATAGCTTTTGAGAGCAAAACTGTACCATATAATTTGGCCTTTTATGTATTATTTTATAATCAAAGGTGATTTATGTTATTAGAAAACGCGTTTAAAATAACTAGTACTATACTAACCAAAAATTTAAAGAATTCTAATTATTTTGTAAAATTATTTCTCGTTTAGAAATTACCGTTTATCATTTAAATTGTGCTCTAATTTCAATCCCATGTAGCTAATAATTGAAAGAAACTATTTAGAAATTAATTAATTAAACGTCTTTAATACTGTGACCCTATAAATGATGTATTTATATTTTATTTAACGAAAATTATCGGCGAGATTTTTAGTAAATGCTTGTAAAATGGGATTCATCTATAATGACAAGCATAGCGATATTTTTGCGGGTATAAAAAACGTGCACCTCCCAAAGTGAACTTAGACAAAACGAAATTCAACTTTGGCCCTCAGAGAACGTCCGCAACTATTTGAAAGTTTATCCTACCTACATTAATAAGTTGAATTTTTTTTCCGCCAAATATATGACGAGTGAGCGCCCTAGCCATTATCGATTTCACAAAGAATGGAGCCGCTGATTCGCCCACTTATTATTTATTTTATAATCTAGTTATAAATTTACTAATAAGATCACAAAGTGACTACAGCACTATCAATTCCATCATTTTTCACTAAGATGGTAGTAACTAGTAACCTATTGGTACTGTCAGCCTCACAATACGAGAGAATGTTTTAAATACTAACTACTTAATTTTTATTGGAACGAAGTTCCTTATCGCGCGTTGTGAAAGGGGGCTAGACGGAAAAAAATCTTACGAAAAGTTGTCACGACACTTTTTAGACCCGTCATTCTGACCAATCAACGTGTAGGCGCTTATCGCGTGACATTGCTCGTATCCGATTGGTCCGCGTAATGAGTACAGTATCTCGAGATAGCGTTTCAACAATAGTAATTTAGTTCATAGTATTGTTTTTTTCTTCTTCATAATGCCGTAATTTATTATTATAACTTAAAAAAAAAATTACAATTCCTTCACTAATTAATCGAAAGGAACTTCGTTCCATCCGGGTGTCCCTTGACACCTCTGAAGTTTTTATTAATACTGATTTTATTTTTCCATCTTTGATCTCAACGTGTCGATTAAAAAGCAGAGTAGCGTTAACGTTATTTATAATTAGCGTTTATTGGAAAAGTAATTTTTTGTTGAGCATCTTTTACTAATTTTGATTGTTTAGTGTTATACATTTATATTAGGTTAATTTTCGTTTTAACGACACTAAAGTATCACTTGTTTTACTCTAGAGCATCTCTATAAGAAGTTGCTAATATAGATTACTTACCAAAGCTATTTTTGCGTTTGTACAAGGTGGGCCAAAGGGAAGTCATCCGATGTTGTTTGGCTCTCATTTTTTTTTTCTAAATGAAAAACTTCGATTCTGTTTTTTGATTATCTTTATTTGAACCTTTAGAATTTTATTGGTCAAGTCGAGAAGATGATATTGGCTAAATGGGCGCCGTCACAATTGATTGCTTTACGGGCTCGTTTTATGGCATTTTTCATCACTTCGGCAAGAACTTCGGGCTACAGATTCTCTCATTCGTGTCGAATGTTGTTCTTGAGGGTCTCGAGCTTGTTGACATTGGCGGCCATTTGCAAAAATGAGAGCATCTTCCAATAGGGTGATTTCTTTTGGCCCACCTTGTATATGCAGCTTGTGCTTGCGTCGAATCACCGTCTGCATGACTTCGTTTGGTATGTATGGAACCCGAAAATAATATGTTTGAAAAATATTCTATTTTCGCTCAAGAATTTATCGAAGAATATTAGAGTTAAATACAGCGGTATCATGTCAAATAGCCACCGCCATTGGGTAGCCCAAGAGCTCTCTATCAAGTTCATTTCTTTATTTATCTTTAGAATTTAAGTAAACTGTGCATTTTAACTTTAACAGATACAGACAGAATGATGATAGTGCGAAAATTAAAAATAGCGTTGCGACATAACGTTATCACACATTTTTTCAACGAAGGCTTTTTCTCTCATCTCTAAAGCCTTTTTCAAGGATCCAAAACCGCAGGCGCACTTCGATTTCGATTTATATTTTGACACCACTTGATCATCCATCTCGCTTGAATTCGAGAGTATGAAAGAGATAGATAGTGGAAAGCACTTCCAGATATTTTATAATTAGTTTATAATACTATATTATCTTAGCTCTAACTTTGTTATATCATTAATTTAACGGCCGTCTGGTGTAGTGGTAAGTGACATGGTCACTACACAAGGGGGTCGCGGGTTCGAATCCCGCCAAGGGAAGATATTTGTATGATAAATATGATTGTCTTTTCCAGGGTTATGGATGTATATTAAATATATGTATGTGTATAATAAAAATCTTACATTTATATCCGTTATCTGGTACCTGTAACACAAGTTCTTTACGAACTTATCACGGGACCAGTTAACGTGGCGTGATTGTTAGTAAATATTTATTATTATTTATTATTATTTATTTATTTTGACTTAAGCATATCGTTGAGCGATTTGACATTTTAGATCACTTTTTAGTGGAAATTCCACTTGAGTTTTGTTTTTGTACGATTCTTATTTAACATATATGTTTTGTAAGTCTCAACTTTAAATAATTATACATATCTTCGACTAGTTAATAATGTATTGAATATTAAAAGAAGAGTAGTAGGTATTAAAATGAAGACATTAGTTGTATATTAATCATTCCTAAATACTTTAAAAGGTGCAATCAAGTTTGATATATAAGACAAAATTTTGTGCTATGTACAAACATGCATAATGTTAGAAGGTTTTTTTTTTGTTCAAAGATATGGCAAAACATTGTACTATTTGGTAGTTTTAGAAACTTTATTAGATAAAATCCAAAACGGAATTAGACACGAGACTAAACTGTTCAAATTTTTCAAATCATTTTCATTAATTCCGTTATAATCTCGTGAAGATCAATGAAAATTTTACCTTTCCCCTTTTTTTTTTATTTTAACTACCAAAACTCTGTTTCTGACGACGGTGTGATTTTTACCTGAAAAATAATCAAAAATGAATTAGCTTAATGTTAAATATAGCTTTGCCTGAGAATTAGGACATCAAACATGTGAATGATGTAAGAACCACAGAGCCTATAAAACTATCGGCGATCAAAAGTCGTCTAAGGTGTATAGGAGTTTGTGAAAAAAAAAAGAGAGAAGTATAGAATCTATCTATCAATGGCTCGAGGTCCAATGATATAAATACTTGAATACTCGCCAATGATGAGACCGTGTGAATAGGTCTTTGTGGTTCTAATTTGACTACCCTATTCTTCCGGTAACTTCTGTCTACATGAGCTGCCACTCAAATGGTCCCCTTAATGTAATAGATTGTTGGTATGAAAGGTCTCCATTCTACTGTGATACGGCAATCATATCATTCAAATGGATTCAATGAAGAGGCTAGTTGTACTAGGCGTTCAGCCACTTGGAGTTTACTGTTTTGTATAATACCTTCAAAAAAGATCTGACGTGAAGCAGTGTAAGAAAGGTAAACTCAGGTCAGGTCAATTTTACAAAGCACAATGAATGAATATTTTTTTTATTTATTTTTTCCTACCTATTCTGGTAACCTCGAAGGGTTATTCTAGATTCGCCGATCTTGTAGGTGAGCTCACGGGGCTCAAACCTGACGACGTTGCTAACACGAACCCTAGCAAGAGCCGTGCTTCGCAGAATCTACCACCGGATCGGAAACGGGACCCACTGAGAAGACCCGGCGAGAAACTCAGTGGGCTGTGTCTGTGGGTTAATTTACTCGTCGGGCCCTTCGTCGCAAGCGACGGCTTCGACGAGAATGATGATCGGTGCTTGAGGTACCTAAAAGCACCGTTAGTGGATTGGGAGGGTCCGAAATGACATGTTTTGGGCGACGTCGACTGTGCTTCCATTCGGTCCGCAGGATCGGGAAGGTAATGAAGAAAAAAATTAAAATAATCACAGCACGCACTTATATATAAAAACTAATTGAAAATAATACTGGCTGGTACAAACAAACGTCATGTGAACGACGTAGTCATAATTTGATGTGGAGCTACGTTTAATCGTCGGCGAGCACTTTCCTACACGCCTACTTCTTAAATATTAAGTGTAAAGTATTATCTATGGCTACAGTAGGTATATCCGAAGTCTATCTAACGGTTGTCGGGCAGAAAAGTTTGTTACCAGTAAAATCACAACTAAAAGACCATTTTACTGACTACAAAATGATCAAGAAATGTTTGAGGTAGCTTTCAGACATTCATCTCACCAAGAGCACAACTCCTCGTCTTTCCACGTATCTCAGTCAAGGTTTCCGCCGTTCCTGAGTCCCGCCTTGGTCTCGGGAGGAACCTGCTTCCTGAAGCAGTCGTCGAGGAACGAAGACATCGTGCGGTATAAGTGATGTTTCACGCCTTCCAAGCTGTGACCTTCATCCGGGTAAATCTGGAGATAAACGTGTTGCTTTATTTGTGACGTAACTGTTACCAGTGGTCCCGCAGTGGTCGAAATTCGACTATAATTATTTTAAATTATAAGTTTGAACATTATTATGGTTCTATTGTTAAAGACTATTATACTTCTATAGTTACAGATTTCGCCAAGACTACATACACTGTAGACAAATAAACAATATTAATCGATTCTGAATTTGATCACAGACTCACAAAAGTTTGAAAATAAACATAGAAGTATTCATATGGGTGTGTGTCAAATACATGGTAGTGTGTGTAACGTTTTTTTTATTGATTCAATGTACTATTAATGCATAATTTAAAACAAAATTACCATTCGGCACTCCTTCGCTATATTCTCTATAAGCGTGGGAAATTTCATACTCCTCCGTCCGCGCAGTTTTCGTAAAAAGGGGTACAAAGTTTTTGCATCACGTATTATAGATAGATTTGGAGGCGGATAACTGTTATTGCTTGTCCGAGGTCTCTAGGTGAACGATATTTACGTGGAGATGTTTATGGGCTACACTGCCGACTTTTTATAAGATAGGTTGTGAGCTTATGTACCCATCTGGGCAAGATATAGATATTGTTACGCCGGTAAGAGTAACGCCATCTATCGCCAAATAGTCGAACGAATATCGAAGGGTCTAGTAGCACCTAGAACGTTCGAGAAGTACAACGCCATCTATTGTCAGATACTGGAAACAATATTAGAGATGTGTGGAATATTCTCGATAATTCTAGGGATGTGGTATCGACTATAANCTTATGTACCCATCTGGGCAAGATATAGATATTGTTACGCCGGTAAGAGTAACGCCATCTATCGCCAAATAGTCGAACGAATATCGAAGGGTCTAGTAGCACCTAGAACGTTCGAGAAGTACAACGCCATCTATTGTCAGATACTGGAAACAATATTAGAGATGTGTGGAATATTCTCGATAATTCTAGGGATGTGGTATCGACTATAAACGCGTTGCAGGGATGGCACGCAGTTAGTTACTAATCGGAGCTACTCGAAGCGAAACAGCGAACGGATCACCTGAAGCGAAGCGGAAGAAGCGAAGTGAGAATTTAAAGTGTTTGTGAAGTGTTTAAGTGTTGAATACAGTTTTAAGTTGTACTTTGGTGGAATTTTATTTATCCCGAACCCCAGTGCGTAACAATATTAAACTTTTTCAAAGATAAGATTACCAGATACGTTATTTGATACCTTCCTTTTTTTAAACAAAATTTTCAGCGGCATGCAAACAGATTAGGAACTATTTCTTTCTAGGCGAAATCAATTACAATACATGACATTTAAATTATTATAAGTCATTACCTGCTGCCGGAACATGCTGCCTTGTTCAGCCAATGACCTTGCCAATGCCATAGTCTGCTGTATATGGACACTGTCGTCTGCCGTGCCGTGCACTAGCAGCAGCATCTTGTCGTGTAAAGCCGCCGCTTGCTTGGTGACGTCAGCTTCAGCGTAGCCTCTGTAGTTGCCCGTTGCGTTTGGAAAGCCCATATAACGTTCAGCGTATGCTGACGCTGTATAGGTAATAAAACAAAAGGATTTTTTTTTTGTTTAGTTGGATGGACGAGCTCACGGCCCACCTGGTGCTAAGTGGTTACCGGAGCCCATAGACAGATGTAAATACTACCGCCTACCCAGAGACCGAGTACTAAGTCTCAGTTTTACAGTACAACGGCCCCAACCTTCAAACCGAAACGCATTACTGCTTCACCCTAGAAATAGGTAGGGTAGTGGTACCTACCCCTACGAGCTCACTATATGCACTACCAGAAGTATCATTCAGTATTATTTTCAAATATGTTTCATTGCTTAAATTAATTAGAGCTAGGCGAAGAAAATATTAAGGTATTTCTACATTTGTGTTTAGGTTTTAAATGTGAGACTGTTAAATTGTACACACTTCATATGTTTATTCCTTAGCAGTACGTAACTTTTAGTGATATTTTAAATTCTCAAATGCGAGGAAAATGTCGTATCCGGACTCACCACAAATGACGTCACCACACGAAGAACGTGGCGATTAGTGCTCACGGTTAATGGCCTGTTTTTTTTTTAATTACTTCTTAGGCAGATTAGCTTACGGCCCATCTGATGGTGAGTGGTTACCATCGGTAATGGACGTCACCAATGCCAGGGCAGAGCTAAAGCGCTGCCTACCGTTATTGATAGCGGCTATTGGCATTGGCAGTGTTAAGTTTGGTCTTAATTGTACTAATAAATAAGTTTTTAAATTCAAAGTACCAGGCGCTTATAAACGTAAAGAGGTAGATACCGTAGTAGCGCCAGCGCACGATAGGCGTGACGGCGATGCCGCAGTGGAAGACGCTGGGCGTGCTCGCGAGGGCCATTGTCGCCAGGAATCCGCCGTGCGACCGCCCCCACACCGCCACTCGACGGGCGTCTATGAAGTGCAGGGAGTCGCGAAGATACCTGATTTAATATTACATCAAACACAAACTTGTATATTAAGGTATGTTTTAGTGCTGTTGGATTAACGTCCTAAAGTCTCAGCAGCAGAGCTACTAATTGCTACGGTGTTAGTAAAGGATTTAAATCTGTCTCAAAATTGGAAATTAGGCCGTGATAGACGTATACGCAACTAGACTAAGCAAAACAATAAAAATCCTCAGTTAATTATACCTATCTATATTATAGCAGTTTTTGCTGCATACGAAGTATACTGATTAGTTATCAGACTCTTCTACTGCAAACGCCTCTGATATCTTTCTAGCCTTTTACTAAGAATGAATTTCTAGTAACATAGACAGAACTAGCATAGATAAGACACTACTAGCACTTCCAAATTTGGCACTGTAAAAATGGGTATTTAAAAAATATTAACTCAGCCACTTCCAGTTGATCTTGCAACTCTACGGTCCCCAGTCTTCTATGCAGAGCATGGTGAGCTCCTAAGCCTCTGCCGCCAGCCCCTCTGGCGTCAACTGTAGCCACAATGGCTCCGGCACCAGCGGCCAATGACCCCCAGTCAACAGCCCAGCGCTCTGTCACAAGCTGGCTACCTGGAGCTCCGTGCCTGCCAAACAAAACCGCCTTTGAAAATTTACATCTAAAATTTATACTGTCAATGACTTGACAAATCGATTTTCGATTAGGTCGTATTTGACTGACGGCGGTAATGTGTTATAGGCAATCACAAACAAAAGATATATTTCGTCATGTAAACGATTTTATGGATAGAATTCTTTCAGACAAGTCGTCGTGGCCTAAAGGATAAGACGTCCGGTGCATTCGTATCGAGCGATGCACTGGTGTTCGAATCTCGCAGGCGGGTACCAATTTTTCTAATGAAATACGTACTCAACAAATGTTCACGATTGACTTCCACGGTGAAGGAATAACATCGTGCAATAAAAATCAAACCCTCAAAATTCTAATTTGCGTAATTACTGGTGGTAGGACCTCTTGTGAGTCCGCACGGGTAGGTACCACCGCCCCGCCTATTTCTGCCGTGAAGCAGTAATGCGTTTCAGTTTGAAGGGTGGGGCAGCCGTTGTGACTAATACTGAGACCTTAGAACTATATCTCAAGGTGTGTGGCGCATTTACGTTGTAGATGTCTATGGGTTCCAGTAACCACTTAACACCAGGTGGGCTGTGAGCTCGTCCACACATCTAAGCAATAAAAAAAAAAAAAGATAGAATAGATTTCGGCTTAATATATCCGTATATATATTTCTTCTGTGCGTGTGTTTGTCACTGAACTCCTCCTAAGCGGCTAGACCGACTTGAATGATTTTTTTGTATCCGTTTGGGTGGCACCCTGGGTGGTTTAGATTCACAAATCAGCCCGGTAAATGCCGCTGCAGTCGGTATCTAGGTTATTTATCTTTCCTAGAAATAATTTATATGGCAAAAGAACGTTTGCCGGGACGGCTAGTATATTTGTAAAATACTCGCAGAATCCACATATTTTGTGCAAACCGTCACACGTAATTGCGCTAATTCGATGAAACATGAAAATAACGCATAAATGCAAATAAAACTTACACTTTTAGCACCAGAGGGTACTTGGTAACTTCGTCTTCTCTAAGACCCGGTGGTAGAAGCAGGCGTACCCGGGCTTGGTGTCCGCTGGACAAATGAACCGAGAACGTTCTCGGTGTGGGCAGCGCTATCAACGACAGTCGCTCCTATTAAAACCAAAGCAAAAAAAATACATGTGTGCAATTCACACGTGGTAGAAGTGAAACCTTCCAAAATTAAAATACAATTATCCTAAACGTCTTAAGTATATGTAAAATTTTGTCATTAGTAAATAATTGTAAGGTAGCGCCCTCTGTGAATTGATATTTTAATTTCACGTATAATCCTAAATTAAAATTCACTACAAGAGCTTTCATACACACGTTAGTNATGTGTGCAATTCACACGTGGTAGAAGTGAAACCTTCCAAAATTAAAATACAATTATCCTAAACGTCTTAAGTATATGTAAAATTTTGTCATTAGTAAATAATTGTAAGGTAGCGCCCTCTGTGAATTGATATTTTAATTTCACGTATAATCCTAAATTAAAATTCACTACAAGAGCTTTCATACACACGTTAGTAATAAGAAATCTCACAGATGGCGCTGTATTAAATAGTATGTATATTTCTGTCTCATTCTTTGCTGGCTTCATCCTACACATTTTTGTATTTGTGTCTCTTACCTGTCATTTTTTCCGTTGCATCCGGTTTGAAATCACAACGATACTAAAGAAGTTTTCACTTCAAAAAAATTATAAGACCTGTATAAAAGCCTGTGTTGTGGCGTGCAATCTCTTTGACAGAACATTAGACCTACAACGACTAGACATAGACTAAGACGGAGACTTGATAAGAATTCGAAAAGAAACAAAAGAAAAGATGTGGAATGAGGGAAGACATGACATGGCGGCAGTGAGTACCGTACTCATAATGCCTTTCTAAAAGACGGACACGAACCAGACGACAATGAACGAACTGATTGTTCTGATCACTACATAGTATAAAACAAAGTCGCTTTCTCTGTCCCTATATCCCTATGTATGCTTAAATCTTTAAAACTACGCAACGGATTTTGATGTGTTTTTTTTTAATAGATAGAGTGATTGAAGAGGAAGGTTTATATATATAATAACATCCATTAAATAGTTGAGAAATACTGTTATTTTTGAGGTATCTAATGTGATGTCGTAAATAATCAATAATAAAATTTCATGTTTCCAAAGCGAAGCGAGGGCAGGTCGCTAGTATGTACATAAAATAGACGACAAATGAACAAACCGACCGATATGTAGAATATTAAGAGTAAGTGCTCTATTAAGATCTTAGAAAAATAGTCGTGATTTATTACACTCCTAAGTTTAATCTAATATATAAAATTCTCGTGTCACAATGTTCGTTCCCATACTCCTCCGAAACCGCTTGACCGATTCTCATGAAATTTTTTATGCGTATTCAGTAAGCCTGAGAATCGGCTACTATCTATTTTTCATACCCCTAAGTGATTAGGGTTGTCCACCCCTAACATTTTTTTTTTATTTGGACTTTTTTTTTGTTATCTTGAGGTATTATGTGGTTGAATGAGGTTTTGTTATTTTTATTATATATTCCCTCATCGTTCACAGCACTACACTCATTTACCACATCCTTACACACTTACAATAAGTTAGTTTTTTTTTTTTTCTACACTAGAAATTCCCTAGAAATCTTATATATGGCAAAACAATGTTTGCCGGGTCAGCTAGTAATTGATATAATCATCAATGTCTTAGGGAAATCAAAATTACATCTTCAACCAACTAAAAGGTAGTCTCAGATCGCGTACCCTGATGTGCAGTAATGCCTAGGCTTGATTCAATAATACAAATTGTATTATAGTACCTACATACCTCTTGGGTTAAGATTTTTGTTTGAAAGGGAAACATGTTTTTTCTGTGGAGCACGGTCCCTTTGTTTCGGAACATAAAGGAATACATTAATATAATCTTTTTGTACGAAATGTATTCGCGGATCGAGTATCCGGGATACCGGTTACAAAAGTGTAGGAAATCTTAATGTTCAAAAATATTTTGTCTTATTGCTTAGGTGGGTGGGTGAGCTCACGGCCCACCTGGTCTTAAGTGGTTACCGGAGCCTATAGACACCTACGACGTAAATGCCGCCTACCTCGAGACACTTATTGCAACTATAATAGTTAGACATATGCTGTCGCGACACTTCTTGTAAATATTAATGACGTGTTCTACAAAGTCGTAGTACATTATTACATTTTACGGTCGCGAGGACTGAGCCCCACTTCCGCGGAACCAGGTTGTTGAAGGACAGTATTACTGTTCAACGGCAACTTGAAATAAATGTGCAGTGTGTGTTATTGCTTGCTAAGATTTTCGGTCGCATTATTTATTCATGTACACACAAAAAAGAAGACATAGTACAGAGTAATAGGAAAATTATGTACAAAGGCACTGCTTATTTCTTTAAGAAATCTCTTCGAGCAGACCTGCGAGAGGATTATGAGAATAATAATTAAAAGTGATGAGTGTGTGTGTAGAACAGCTAAAATAAGAAGTACAACATGAGAATTATAGTTATGCACATACACATAGTACCTAATGCACGTACACACAAAATATTATAAGTAACACAGTATATACGAAGAGTATAGAACAATTACATTACCAAGCATTACCAAGAACAGGTATACTCAAATCATACCTTCACAACCGTGTTGTTTTCCAAGTGCATGACGAGTCTTGGTTCCGGAAGCGCGGTCTTGTGGAGGCTCGACGTCGGTACGCCCGGACCGAGGCACTCCAGCACGAAATACGCCGCCGTTGGACTGAAGTGTGCCTCGTGATATAAGCAAGGCAAGTTCTGCGGCACACCCTCTGAGCGACAACAAGTGTATTTTGTTAGGCTAAATCCACACCAAGTATTGGAACTATACCTTCCAAGTTCAAGACCAGTCTCAGTGTCCATGTTTTTTTTATGATTGAAGGATTACTAGTGGCCCGGAGGCCTTTCCAATTTCACCTGGACAGGTGGGCGAGCAAAGGCTCAGCCAGGAAGGGTGTGATTTGCTAACAGCTGCCCGAGCGCCTCCGAAGGAGACCTAACAACTCAAGAGCAACTGCTTCTCTAATGAATCTACTACTGGATCGGAATTGCGACCCGCTGAGAAGATCCGGCGAGAAACTCAGCGGGCTGATGCATGGGTTAGTTTGCACGTCGACCTCTTTGTCGAGTTCAANGTAGTCTCAGATCGCGTACCCTGATGTGCAGTAATGCCTAGGCTTGATTCAATAATACAAATTGTATTATAGTACCTACATACCTCTTGGGTTAAGATTTTTGTTTGAAAGGGAAACATGTTTTTTCTGTGGAGCACGGTCCCTTTGTTTCGGAACATAAAGGAATACATTAATATAATCTTTTTGTACGAAATGTATTCGCGGATCGAGTATCCGGGATACCGGTTACAAAAGTGTAGGAAATCTTAATGTTCAAAAATATTTTGTCTTATTGCTTAGGTGGGTGGGTGAGCTCACGGCCCACCTGGTCTTAAGTGGTTACCGGAGCCTATAGACACCTACGACGTAAATGCCGCCTACCTCGAGACACTTATTGCAACTATAATAGTTAGACATATGCTGTCGCGACACTTCTTGTAAATATTAATGACGTGTTCTACAAAGTCGTAGTACATTATTACATTTTACGGTCGCGAGGACTGAGCCCCACTTCCGCGGAACCAGGTTGTTGAAGGACAGTATTACTGTTCAACGGCAACTTGAAATAAATGTGCAGTGTGTGTTATTGCTTGCTAAGATTTTCGGTCGCATTATTTATTCATGTACACACAAAAAAGAAGACATAGTACAGAGTAATAGGAAAATTATGTACAAAGGCACTGCTTATTTCTTTAAGAAATCTCTTCGAGCAGACCTGCGAGAGGATTATGAGAATAATAATTAAAAGTGATGAGTGTGTGTGTAGAACAGCTAAAATAAGAAGTACAACATGAGAATTATAGTTATGCACATACACATAGTACCTAATGCACGTACACACAAAATATTATAAGTAACACAGTATATACGAAGAGTATAGAACAATTACATTACCAAGCATTACCAAGAACAGGTATACTCAAATCATACCTTCACAACCGTGTTGTTTTCCAAGTGCATGACGAGTCTTGGTTCCGGAAGCGCGGTCTTGTGGAGGCTCGACGTCGGTACGCCCGGACCGAGGCACTCCAGCACGAAATACGCCGCCGTTGGACTGAAGTGTGCCTCGTGATATAAGCAAGGCAAGTTCTGCGGCACACCCTCTGAGCGACAACAAGTGTATTTTGTTAGGCTAAATCCACACCAAGTATTGGAACTATACCTTCCAAGTTCAAGACCAGTCTCAGTGTCCATGTTTTTTTTATGATTGAAGGATTACTAGTGGCCCGGAGGCCTTTCCAATTTCACCTGGACAGGTGGGCGAGCAAAGGCTCAGCCAGGAAGGGTGTGATTTGCTAACAGCTGCCCGAGCGCCTCCGAAGGAGACCTAACAACTCAAGAGCAACTGCTTCTCTAATGAATCTACTACTGGATCGGAATTGCGACCCGCTGAGTTTTTTTTTTTTTTTTTGNAACCTGATGACGTTGCTAACACGAACCCTAGCAAGAGCCGTGCTTCGCAGAATCTACCACCGGATCGGAAACGCGACCCACTGAGAAGTTCCGGCGAGAAACTCAGTGGGCTGTGTCTGGGAGTTAATTTACTCGTCGAGCCCTTCGTCGCAAGCGACGGGTTCGACGAGAACGGTGACCGGTGCTTGAAGTACCTAGAAGCACCGTTAGTGGATCGGGAGGATCCGAGATGACGTGTTTTGGGCGACGTCGACTGCTTTCCATTCTGTCCGCAGGATCGGGAATGTGCGACCCGCTGAGAAGCTCCGGCGAGAAAATCAGCGGGCTGATGCATGGGTTAGGTTGCACGTCGACTTCTTTGTCGAGTTCGACGCAAACGGTTACCGGGGTCCTAAGCCTACTCCTAGTATTAGAGCTGAAGGTGTCTAATGCAAAGATAATTGGATCTGTTGGATCCGTAAGGACGTGTCTAGGGCGTCGACGGTGATGAATCATGTATCTCTTATATATTAATACGTAAATAAAAAACTTAGGTCTCAAGCACGGCAATAAATTGATCGAAGTAAAAAATACATTAAATCAATAAATAAAACATTACACCACTACACACGCATATACATTATTTATATTCTTTTGTTTATTGTTAGTCTGTGGTCAAATTGAGAATAGATTTATGTTGTTTATCTATAGTGTATGTAGCCTTGGCAAACTCTGTAATTATAGAAGTATAAGTCTTTGACAATAGAACCATAATAATGTTCAAACTTATAATTTCAATTAATTATGGTCGAATTTCGACCACAGGGCGACCACTAGTTATTTTAAATAAACAATGAATATACCTGGATGTCGCCTTTTCTTCTTTTTAGTGGGCGAAGGTGAAGTGGTTGGCAGCTCTTCGTCCCAATCGTTGTCCCAATTACTTTCTCCTGATGACGCCAAATTACCGTAATACTCCAAACTTATTGACGGAGAAGGCTGTGAGAAACGTTATTTTTTTTAAAACTGTAATAAAATAAACTCTACATGTCCACAAGAATCTAAAGCTATATTTTTTCACTATGTAATTGATGCTAGAAATATTTACGTGAAAAAAATTATTACTATCGGCCCACGAATACCTAATTTCTTTCAAAAAAGATATTAACTCTTCTTCTTCTTTGGCTCCACCTATTCCTATTAGGTGGGGTCGGTACAGCAAATTTTTCTATCCCCTTCTCTTCTATCAGCCGTTATCCCAACACTCACTCCTCTCTCTCTCTCTCCCTCTCATATCGTCATTCACACACTCCATCCATGTCTTCTTCGGTCGACTCCTTCCCCCTCTACCTTGCACTACCATTTTCTCCTCTCTACGTATCACATGTCCATACTACGCTAACCTTATAATAGATATTAATTCTGATCTAAAATTAAGCCTAACAAAAGTAAATTTAACAAGAAGAGTAATAGTAATTTTCTGGCAGAATTTGTGGCGATATTTAACATATGGGACGCATTACCGTCAAAGCCTATATTTGGATTCCTCGAATATTTTACTCTCATAAAACCTAATATTTTCTTGCTACCTGTTACGGTTGGCTACAGTGAGTTTCCAATTTTCAGCACGTACAATACTGACTTTAAATGTGAGTTATATTTCCATTTTCTGCAAATGAAGTTCGAAAGGCCCTTAGTAACAGATAATGAATACGCATTGCTGATATCATGTGATGTGTGAACGTATAAATCTACTGAACATGAATAATTACAATTGTAAATATATAAGGTAATTCCTACATATCCATCAAGTTTTTTTCTATACTAATATTATAAAGAGGAAAGATTTGTTTGTTTGTTTGTATTGAATAGGCTCCGAAACTACTGAACCGATTTGAAAAATTATTTCACCGTTTGGAAGCTACACTATTCCCGAGTAACATAGGCCATAATGTTTTTTGAAAGAAATTAGGGATCCTTTCTAAAACTCAAATAATGTAACCCAAGGTGTAAAATATTACCTAAAATATTCTTTATATCGCGTGCCCTGCGAAAACTATTGATGATAGAATAAAATAATGTACTACGACTTTGTAGAACACATTATTATTTACAAAAAGTGTCGCGACAGCATATGTCTAACTATTATAGTTATACCGCAATAAGTGTTCTTTTCTTTAAAAAAATTAAACGTCTAATATCGTTGAAATTTTTGTTTTTTAAAAAGTTTATAAAGTTAGAAGGAGTCTACAGTAGAAGTGATACAAAACTACTTTCATTTCAATGTACTCCACGAAGCTATTTATTGTGACAATTCGACTTTCAACTTTAACCCAAGAGCACGCAGAGTGTATTTTCGAGTTTAAACTTAATACAGTTACCACTTATTTGGTAGAACCTGAAATAATTGAAGAGTCGGTGTACACGTCTTGCCTATTTACAAACCGATAGTTTGAAATTGCTTTTCTCGAGTCAACAGAATTTCAATCTTATAAAAATGTGGCTTGAATTAATTTTGGCGTGACTTTCTAAACCGGCTAAGAATACTATTGGTGCGAATATCTCGGACTATTTTTGTCTTTGTCGAAAAACACATTTCAATCGCCTCGTTGTTCTTGCCTTCTTTGAGTATTGAAGATTTGGGCAAAATTCTTCTTGACTTATTGTGTGTCTTGCCGATGTTAATTGCAGAGCCCAAAGCGCAAGCGCCAGCGAAGTTTAACGCATTTGATTCTTTCCAGATAATATCTTACCCAAAACTTTGTAGTCGTCGTGGCCTAATGGATAAGACGTCTGGTGCATAAGTGTTGAGGCGATGCACCGATGTTCGAATCTCAGGCGGGTACCAATTTTTCTAATGAAATACGTACTCAACAATTGTTCACGATTGACTACCACGGTGAAGGAATAACATCGTGTAATAAAAATCAAACCCGCAAAATTATAATTTGCGTAATTACTGGTGGTAGNACCACGGTGAAGGAATAACATCGTGTAATAAAAATCAAACCCGCAAAATTATAATTTGCGTAATTACTGGTGGTAGGACCTCTTGTGAGTCCGCACGGGTAGGTACCACCACCCTGCCTATTTCTGCCGTGAAGCAGTAATGCGTTTCGGTTCGAAGGGTGGGGCAGCCGTTGTAACTATACTTGAGACCTTACAACTTTTATCTCAAGGTGGGTGGCGCATTTACGTTGTAGATGTCTATGGGCTTCAGTAACCACTTAACATCAGGTGGGCTGTGAGCTCGTCCACTCATCTAAGCAATAAAAAAAAAAAAAAAAAAAACTAGTAAATTTTTAAACATTACAGTTTTGAAGCATCCAACAAGCAACAAGGTCTTTGTATTGTATTGTCCTTGTAGTGTCTTCACGGCAGTACTATTTATTATACAGTAAAGTTATACTACACGGCAGGCGGCATTGTTTTCATCCATGAAGTGAGCCATAGCTCTATATTCGAAAGTAATATGCGGTACACAGAATACACAAATACACAGAGGAGGTAAGAAGCTCAAAGGCTATCGTCTTAAAGAATATCCGGATTTTGAATGAATAACCAAGTTTATATTATACAAGATTCTTTGGTGCTAGTAAAAAAATAGCTTTTGCAAAAAACACGATTTTTTAAGTTAGCTTACCTGTGAATTGCAAGTGACGCAGTAAGGCAGTTTTTGCGGTGAGCCTGGTCTGGGCGCTTCAGACGATACCCTGTATAAATGCTGTTGCCCTGGTTTGCCTTCTGGTATGCCGAGGTAATATCTATTTTAGAACAATCTACGTCAGTTTAACAAATACTACATAACATATGAAATAAGTCAAAATGTTGCGTAAAAACCTAAGGTCGAGTGATGTGGAATTAGTTTCGATAACATTTTTTTTATTTTTATTTTTATTGCTTAGATGGTTGAACGAGCTCACAGTCCACCTAGTGTTAAGTGGTTACTGGAGCCCATAGACATCTACAACGTAAACGCGCCACCCACCTTGAGATACAAGTTCTAAAGTCTCAGTATAGTTACAACGGCTGCCCCACCCTTCAAACCGAAAGGCTGTACTGCTTCACGGCAGAAAAAGGTAGGGCGGTGGTACCTATCCGCGCGGACTCACAAGTGGTCCTACCACCAGTAAAAACTCAAAAAGGTCCGAGTCGCATACCTACATACACATTTATATATTCTGATTAATATTAATCTAACAGGCTATAATCGTTAACATGATCTGAGCTCACTTAAAGTTGCATTACTTTTGTGGTATTTTGGATCGGAACTAGTTAACGAACGAAGATCGATCGATTTTTTAAAGGTCATAGTCGCACAGTATTTTTATTTTCCTAGTCGGATAGAAGAGCTCGGAGCACCCTTTAGTGATGTAACTTCCGAAGCTTATAGACTAAAAATACTACCTTGGTCAGTTTGAAGTCTCAACTTGGAGCACAAGACATATTATGCATACACATTAAGCTACCGTTCAAATGAGAAGGACCTTTACACAGGGATAGGGATGATTTTACTGGTAACTTGATAGAATATTTTGGTTTTCATAATTTGTTCATCTGCTAACTTTCGTTTTTGCCCAGGATGAAATATGACCAACGATCCATCAGATATTAAATACTTAGGCTCCTGCAAGAACTTTTCACATCGGTAATGCAAATAATGTGTCCCATTTTGTGCTAAGACGCTATCTATGTTCGAAAAGGCCAATACGTAATTATTAAAATAGCCAGGTGTTTAGTTTCTGAACGTAAAAATGTCAGCGAGCGACGTCCGCCATGACACCAAGCCCTCTTTCAAATCTAGCCGCCAAGAGCAACGCACTAGTTGACGTTAAATTACCACTAGACGATGACCGAACTTTGCTCGGTTTTTTTTTTGATAAATTGTGTTTTTTAGAAATTATATTTAAATACGAATTACATATTGATAAAATGATGAAATATTCCGAGATCGTTTAGGCATTTTTAAGTGGCTTCGGGTGGCTTAACAACGCCATCTGCTGAAATAGCTTTAGAGTTATTGTGTTTTTAAAGCAGCTAGTTGCTCTCAATTATGAAAAATAGTATTTTTATTCGCCAATAGATGTCGGGAAGAGTCATAAAGTTGATTATTGAAAACACGAATAAAACAACATTTTCTGAAAATAAATCGTAGCTAGATCGATTTATCGCCCTCGAAATCTCCTGTATACTAAATTTCATAAAAATCGTTGGAGCCGTTTCCAAGATTCAGATTAGATATATATAAGATAAGATAAGATAAAGATAACATAACAGCAAGCAAACATCACTTACATGTGCTGGTTCGCATGATCCCATGCTAATAATTTCACGACGTCGAAGCTACCATGAGTCAGAGGTAACGCCCTTGGTCCGTGTGAATTGTGTTCAGTCCTCACGATGTGTCTGAAGAGACCAGCCGGGCCGTCTCTTACTGGGGCAAGCGTTACCAGAGCGCCTCCTCCTGCAGACCACAATGGTGCTGGTGCGGATTCGACCCAGCCTTCATTGCTTGACGATATTCGGTATACCTATTTGGATTTGAAAATCAAGGACTGGATAAACAAATTTTTGTAATTAATACGCTTTTATTAGCTTCTGACGTATGTATATGTTTATAACGGAATTTTTGAACATGATTTTGACCCCCTTAAAAACGTCGGATTAACTCGAAATTTGGTATACTTATTAAAGGACCGATGACAATTCAATATTAAAAAAATATATATTGAAAAAATTTAAATTGAACTAAAAAACCAAAAATAAATAATAGTTTAAAAAAACGAACAAATTACGCTTTTATAGAAAATCCAACTAAAAAATAAATTTTAATAAATTTGAATTAATTGAATGAAATGAAATTAAAAAAAACTAGACGATGACCGAGCAAAGCCCGGTTTTTTTTTATAAATTGTGTTTTTTAGAAATTATATTTAAATACGAATTACATATTGATAAAATGATGAAATATTCCAAGATCCTTTAGGCATTTTTAAGTGAACACGCGAGTTAAAAAGACACAAATAATATAAATAAACAATTCCATTTCTTGGTCTAACCTTAAGCCAAACACCATGGAGTTAATAAGCACCTATTCAATTATGAAAAATAGTATTATTATTCGCCAGTAAATGTCGGGAAGAGTCATAAAGTTGATTATTGAAAACATGAATAAAACAACATTTTCTGAAAATAAATCGTAGCTAGATCGATTTATCGCCCCCGAAATCCCCTGTATACTAAATTTTATAAAAATCGTTGGAGCCGTTTCCGAGATTCAGATTATATATACAAGAATTGCTCGTTTAAAGGTATAAGATTTTCGTCTTTATACTTTCGTATTTAGAGTAGTTTTAAAAATACATACGTGCAAAGGTCTAAATATTCGTTCAGAATTAGATTGCACATTTGCGTGTTCAATTAGTTTCCGATTTGGACTTTCCGTTAGCAATTCAGCAGATTTTGCTTTTGAAAACATGCTGAAGCGTGAATTTTTTTTATTTGATTTTAGAGAAGAGGAATTTAAAATACTTCGACGTTTGTTTTATTTTAATTCAGCTTTTTCTTTCTTTTTTTTATTGCTTATATGGATGGACGAACTCACAGCCCACCTGGTGTTAAGTGGTCACAGGAGCCCATAGAGATCTACAACGTAAATGTGCCACCCACCTTGAGTTATAAGTTCTAAGGTCTCAAGTATAGTTACATAGTTTCGCGATGAACTAGCAGTTTTCTCGCCGAATTTCCTACTTAAGTTCTTAACTCGTTATCAGCTAGACCACATTGCAGCTTCGAACGAAATTATTCCTGCTCAGAGAGTGGTACAACGATTGTATTAATTCAAAGTCGCCGAGGCCTAAAGGATAAGACGTCCGGCGCATTTGTATCTAGCGATGCAACGGTGTTCGAATCCCGCAGGCGGGTACCAATTTTCCTAATGAAATACGTACTCAACAAATGTTCACGATTGATTTCCGCGGTGAAAGAATAACATCGTGTAATAAAAATCAAACCCGCAAAATTTTATTTTGTGTAATCACTGGTGGTAGAACGCCTTATGAGTCCGCACGGGTTGGCACCACCACCCTGCCTATTTCCGCCGTGAAGCAGTAATGCCGTCTGCCGTAAACTTTATCTCAACGTGGGTGGCACATTCACGCTGTAGATGTCTATGGGCTCCGGTAACCAGGTTAACACCAGGTGGGCTGTGAGCTCGTCCACCCATGTAAGCAATAAAAAATATATATATTCATGGGTGAGCTACTTTACCTCCTGACAGAACCACATCGGGATCTTGCAGACTGATACGACAGACAGATTCTGGACCCTCGTGAGCCAAACAACGCATACCTCAGTCAACGACACCCATTGCGCGCTTGTGAAGTAGTAATCTCTGTAAGATAAATGGTAAGATAAAAGAAAGAAAAGCTAAATATAGATTCGTCATGTGAAACCAGAAAATCGGTTTGTTTTAAACTAAAGCCAGGTTTTTAATAAATCTGTACCTAAAACTTGTGTTTGTAAATGTTAAGAGTTCGAAGACCTTTCACATTTTTATGCTTTCGAGTTTTGTTCATAGATAGCTAGTACCACTTGCTATTGCCTCGTGATCAATGTCCAAATTATTTTATTCATTTCGCCATAAGGTCATTTCGACCATCATCAACCTTATGGCTGGCTCATCTGTCTGTTCACTACAAATAGAATTTTCCTATAAACTGTTGCTCTAATTCTTAAATTGGGTTCCGTCGTCATTCTAAATGGTGAACTTTTAGTGTTCAATTTAATTTTCAGTCAGAATAATAAATGTATAGAATTAATTGTGTACTACTAAGATTACTGATATCACTGAGCGACATACCGTTAGGTAGATAGTAATTTGGCAGCAGTGAAAATAAAAAAGATAAAGATTTCGATATGAAAACATAACTAATACGTACCCTTGTTCTAGTATAACTTTGGGTGGCGTCAAGTGTCTGGTCCTTATGTGTTTAGGGTCTGCGATATCCGCCACTGTTAAAGTAAATGTTGGGTTGTTGGTACCCGGCTTCGGGTATCTCACGCTCTTGATTTCTGGATATGTCTGTGAAAATATTGAAATCTACAGTTTTCTATGTACCGTGCGTTCTGTTTTGAAGAGTAGCAGTCCCAACGAATTTGAAACTTATATCTAATGTCACAATGACTGCATTGACCTCCAAGATCGGTGTTTTTATGAAACGTCCATCCTCTTTAGTCAATTTATAAAATCTTCTCATCACTACATCAACATAAAGCAATTGTATTTCTATCACTGGACATTACACATATATTTCTACTTTTTTTATTCTAAAATTTTGTTGTAACGAAACGATTTTAATCATAATTTAAAGCATTTCAATTGGTTTCATTGCATTTCACGTTTATGAAGCTCAGATCTCATTACCCATTGCAGTGAAAGTTCCAGAATATACTCCAAACACGAAGTAGATACTTAAAAACTTTGTGGTGGATATTGAAAGCTTTTAGATTAATTACCAAAACGAAAATCTAATTCAATCGAAAGAAGGATCTTTCATGTAATAGACAAAATCCGCCCAAAATCTGAATCACGTTAACGAGCATATTAGATTTAAATACCATAAAAATACAAGACGTTGGAAAATTACAAGCCAAACAAAGACACAGATTTGTAGTCGTAACTTTAAATTTTTTTACTGTTGGCAGGACCTCTTGTGGGTCCGCACGGGCAGGTACTACCACCTTGCTGTCTATTTCTGCCGTGAAGCAGTAATGCGTTTCGGTTCGAAAGGTGGGGCCGTTGTAACTATACCTTAGAACTTATATCTCAAGCTGGGTGGCGCATTTACGTTGTAGATGTCTATGGGCTCCAGTAACCACTTAACCCCAGGGGCTGTGAGATCGTCCATCTATTTAAGCAATAAAAAAAAATCATTTGCTCTGTTGAGTCAACACTACAAAGATGTACCTTTTCAGGGTCATCCGTGTCCAGCGCAGCGCCGTACCAGGGGAACTTCTGCTCATGAACGAGGCTGTCGTTGAAGGTTGCATACAATACCATGTGGCCATCAGCAGACATCCACAGTGCTGTTCGACTGTCCAAAATTTCTTCTGAAACAATAATTTTCACTTTGTAAAAATCATGTTTACTGGTGGTAGGACCTCTTGTGAGTCCGCACGGGTAGGTACCACCACCCTGCCTATTTCTGCCGTGAAGCAATAATGCGTTTCGGTTTGAAGGGTGGGGCAGCCGTTGTAACTATACTTGAGACCTTAGAACTTATACCATACAAAGTAGGTATCGCATTTACGCTGTAGACGTCTAGGGGCTCCAGTAACCACTTAACACCAGCTTGTCTGTGAGCTCGTCCACCCATCTAGGCAATAAATAAATAAAACTTTATAAAAGTCTTATATTTATGTTATTAATCGATAGTTCAATAATATTTTTCGTGTGAACTCCGGTGCATGACAGGAGTTTACTGTCCAATCAAATTTTCGTAAATGGGGATTGTCAATTGAAATCGATTATTGCTTTACAATATGATCGTCTTTTTGGTCCAGTGGTCAAAGATTATTGCACTGACTCGTCGGTATCCGAATCTTTGTAGAACAGGTATCCGAGATTTACATGTTCTTGTCTGGTAATGTGTGCTATAAGCACTTGTATTAAGTACAATCGTTGGGGCCGTTTAATTCAGAAAAAATACTTCAACAGACCAACTAGTTTATATCAACTAGTGGGCATTAAGCTAAGAAGGTAATGTAAAAGACTGTTTTTTTCATGAAAGTTTTAGTGTATTTTTGAGTAAAAAAAGTACACAATAAAGTATAATGTAATTCGTTTATTAAATCAAATGCACATTGTCGAGCCAAATGGACGTTAAGAGTTTAGTTGCATGCGTTTCGCCGACTTTAAATTTCGTTTCAATAAAACGTTTTCACTATATGATAATATTATTAAGATAAGATTATTAAATAAAATAAGCTAGTGATATATTCAGAATATTTTATAGATAAAATTCTCAGTTTTCGATTATGTAAATTATTTATTTTATGTGAATATTAGTAAATAGCTGTATTCGAAGATTACTTTTGGAATGATGATGCACTTAATAATTTAAAGTTGCTATAAGGAGCAGTGGGTGTCCTTTATACTTAGCTTGGATCCAAAACCCTAAGAATGCGAGGTCTACTCACTTGTTTAATTTATTGTTCTTAAAAGGTTTTTTGAAGTGAAGCTTCGTTAGGTGCGTGGAGATTAAAATTTAACTCGCGAATGATTCGTTATGGTTAGAGAAAAAAGAAGGAAAGAACGACAAGAAAGAACAGAGAGAAAAGAAAGAAATTTAGGAAGAGCGAGAGTGAGAGAATAGACAGAGCGTCTCGCGAACCACTCGACCATGGAGAGGGACAATGGGAAAGGACAAAGCGAACTAGGTCGTTTTTCTTTTACACAGCACTCCTTATTACAAGAGAAGTTTGATTTAAAAATGAAAAATGAAGAAAACCACAATACGTGTCATTGTACAATAGGCCTTATCACCAATAATACAGCTAAATGAAGAAAACCACAATCGTGTCATTGTACAATAGGCCTTATCACCAATAATACAGCTAAATTCTGGTGTTTGCAAACGAATAACCATATTATGTTTTAGTTTTGATTTGTCTATTTTAGACGAAAGTCAGAATTGTTATCTTGGTTCTGTGAGACCAGATGATAAAAGATGACGAATTTCATGGATGGGGATTTAACCTAACTTACTAATCGAATGCAGTAGATCGGTGAGATACACGAAATTGTCCAATAATTTATTAATAATTATCACAGATTAGCGGTCATTATAAAATATAACCATAAATGAGTGATGCCGTAAGCATGTATCCAATATCATCGAAAATGAAATGATTTGTGCATTTTTTTAAATCCGAGGTTTTGGTTAAGGTTTTTTATTTTTTGTATACAATTAGTTATGAACTGATTACTATTTTGATACAAACAATTACTCTTTTATTTTATTTTACAAAGGAGTAATGAAGAATCCGAAGAGTTCTGGAGAACCGGAAACATCTCCATTGTGTCCATACAAACGTCGGTCACCCATGTTGTCGACTACTCGACCGAGCTTCAGCACCTGGTTGAATTCGCGGTTGTAAATGAGGAAAAGGAGGTCGTCTTCGTACTTGGCAGGCTGTAGGTACCACTGATGTCTGAAGGTGTTAGCCACGTCGGCACCGTAAGCGATGTGGTCGCCAGCTTCGTCAGCATCAGTACCCAGTTTCAAGAATTGGTTACGGGCAACGCTAACGATCTTGAAGTAAACCTTGTTGTTTTCCCACAAGTGGACAAACCTCCAGCCGACGTTGTCAGTGGTTTTGTCGTTCGCGTCACCAAATGCAGATCTGTCATTTTGGTGATCCACCTCAGTGCTGAGCTTAATGGCGAGATTGTCCCTCTTGTTGATGATCTTGACATGATTCTCGGCAAAGATCAGTCTGAATTGCATAGGGAAGTGTTGTTTGACGACATCCTTTCCTTCACTATTCCATAGCTTATAGGCATAGTCGAAGATGTTTCGCTTTTTATCTCTAATGAGCCTGGCGATGACATCTTCGATGATGGCTCCTTTTGATAGTAGGTTGAGCGCCAAAGTTTGGACCACAGCTTTGTCAATGTCACCGGTGATGACACTGCTATATACGTTATCCGCTTCGATTTTATCCGGTGCGGATAAAATATCGACATCCACGTCGAGGAGACCAGCGCCGGCAGCCAGCACGCACATCGGTATAACCAACAAGAACTTCATATTTATAGCACCTGCAATGGCACCCAAAACATACTTAGTATTAATTTGTCCATTTCAGTACAAAATTTGTGTCTTAAATATGTAGTTTTAGTATATCTAAGGAAATATGAATTTAAGGATGTCGCATTTCATTGGATTCATTCATTCAAGCATTCATTGGATTTCTGAAAGAAAAACTATTGTGCTCTTAACAATTATAGGAAAATAGAAGTTTATAGAATACCATTGTTCCAAGTTAATGTTTATGAAAGGAGCAATTAGAATAGAATCGAAACTCTGGGGTCTTAACTTTAAAATTTGGTAGACTAGACTAAAGTTAAGGTATCGAAATTAATGTCGAGAAAAATTTATACTAAAACTTACATATAGATTAAGAAAGCTCCTTGTGATTATCCTGGTAATTTTATAAAATGTTATATGAAATGACAGAAATTGTCGCTTGGCTGGGCCCAAGCTGGTCTCCACATAAACTACTATATTAACAAGATACTTACCAAGACAGGCCACGTTAAGATCTGCGATGTTTCTAGAAGTCGACTTATCTTTTATAAGTACCATTTTAAACGTCATGCGCCAGATTAGTCTATCGTGCATTTATCAAAGAGGTAAGTCAAATGTCGCTAATATTGCACTATAATAATATGAAGTAACAGATGCGCTGCACGTTTATCAATGAGGCACAAGTCAAGGTGTCTCTTTAACGAGATGATTGGTGCTATATTAAAATCGGAGGGTCTTAATAAAATTATTCCGATATATCCGGTATAGCTCTGATAAGCGACTTAACTATTTCCCTTAATAATTTCAGATATCTTCTTCCAAAATTCTTCCTGCTCCAAACCTCTACTCATTACTCAAAATCGGTGGCGGTAACTTTATTAATTTAGAAAGAGTATAAGATACTTCATAGCTAAACATACACACATCGATATCATTAAACGCAAATTGTGTTTCTTTAAACAGGAAAAGGAAACTTATATGAGTCGACTATTATCAAAGCCGGCAATGTGACTTTTGTACAATTATTGTTAAATCAGAAAAACGAATTATTGACTTTGTATTCCATTGGCAGTCACAAAACTCTTCGGAACGACATCTTAGATAAATAACAGGTTAAGTATTAACCTTTATTTAATGCAGGTTTTGAACCGTATTCTTTGAAGGAGACGATTATATTCAAATCAATCTGTATTGACATATCAATAATATTTTTTTGTCCATATGCACAGATTGCCACCTTTGATAATAGACGACTCATATATAATATAGATTTATTTTACGGAGCTCGTGTAAGTTATTTTTGATTGGTATAAATGACTTTCTGCTTTACTGTCTCATGTTACTGCTATAATTCACCTCAGCCCATAGCCGGATCATTCGATCAGGGATAACTCTACGTTACATGGACTGCTCACTACAGTCATTTTGGTGTAATTAAGTTTCTTTTTTATTGCTTAGGTGGGTGGACTAGCTAACGGCCCACCTAGTTTTATGTGGTTACCAGAGCCCATAGACATCTACAACGTAAATGCCGCCACCTACTTTGAAATATAATATAAGTTCTAAGGGGTCAGTATAGTTACAACGGCTGCCCCACCCTTCAAACTTACTTTAAACAGGCCACTAAGTATTAATTTAACGAACTTATAGGTTTTTGAAATTTTTGATTTTGGATGACATTATTAATTGATGAAAAGGAAAAGCTCTTAGCATTTATTTATATCCTTGCGGGTGAATCTCTCAAATTTGTGGTAATAACGAATGAGATTCTGTTTTATTTAAAGTCTAGTTATGACCAGCTTTCCACACCAGTGTTATTTTTAATTTAATTCATTTCTTATCAGCGTTATTTTCAAGTAGGTAATAAAAAAAAAATGCGATTGTTTTCTCATTTGGAAGTTTCAGTTAAGCTCAGGTAACACTGATAAATTCATTCACTGATAAAATCATGTATCTCTTGTTATCTTTCATTCAATATCCCTAATAACTTAATTAAAACAGTTTATGTCGTTTTCGATACTTTTAAGAATTCAACGTATTATTTGCTAATGCTGCCCTTTAGAATACAAAAAAGTATGTCTCGGTTTATTTTTCTAATAAGTTACAAAAAAAAAAAAAGTGGAACTAAATTTCGTAACTTTTAAAGGGCTTCAAATAAATGAAAACATCAAAAATGTATTCTGATTTTTATTGGATATGGTTGTTTTGTAATTAATAAATGGTGCTTTCTACAGAGGAGAGACAGTGAAACCGAAGAGTTCAGGGGAGCCGGACACGTCTCCATTGTGTCCGTATACGTTGCGGTCTCCGTCCGAATCCACTGCTCTGCCGAGCTTCAGAGCCTGGTTGAACTCGCGGTTGTAGACGATGAACACGACTTCCTTTTCGACAAAAGCGGGCTGCAGGTACCACTGGTGTCTGAAGGTGTTGGCTTTGTTGTCCCCATAAGCGGTGTGGTCACCAGCGTCGTCAGCAGCAGAGCCCAGTTTCAAGAATTGGTTACGGGCAATGCTAATGATCTTGAAGTACACCTTTTTGTTATCCCACAAGTGAACAAATCTCCAGCCGACGTTGTCTGTGGTCTTGTCGTTGGCGTCACCGAAAGCGGTTCTGTCATTTTCGTGATCCACTGCAGCGCCGAGTTTGATGGCGAGATTGTCCCTCTTGTTGATGAGCTTGACATGGTTCTCGGCCAAGATCAATCTGAACTGAATAGGGAAGTGTTGTGTGACGATATCCTGTCCATCACTGCTCCAGAGTTTATAAGCGTAATCGAAGGTGTTCCTCTTCTTTTCCCTGATGAGCCTGTCAACGACATCTTCAATGATAGCTCCCCTTGAAAGTCCCTCTAGCGCCAAAGTTTGAGCAACGGCCCTGTCAATGTCTCCGGTAACGATGCTGTTGTAAAGCCTGTCCACTTCCACGTTTGTCGGAGCGGACAGGATGTCAATGTCGATGTCGATGAGGCCGGCGCTGACAGCCAGCACGCACAGCGAAAAGATTGCCAAGGTTTTCATATTGATAGCGTACCTGAAATTCATATTGCATAATCATTGCTTAGGTCAGAATTTAATAGCGTTTGGATAGCTTTGAGATACAGATACTAAAAGGTGATGGCGGGAAGTTTAAACTCGCATAGGTATACACAGTAAATCACCATTAAGTTTGAAGGGTCGGACAACATTATACTATACAATTAACGCTTATGCTTTGTGTATTGTGTCTTACCACTTAACCCAGATAGACCCTGGGGTCATTAACACGTCTACGCAATACAAAAAAAGGAGATATCAAAACGTAAATGCTGTACATTTAGAGGTACGAAGTCGAAATCATCATGGTATCTCATAGCATTCCCCACTCTTCAAACCGGAACGCTAGGCTGCTTCGGAGCAGAAATATGTAGGACATGGAATCGAACTGTGCTGATACACAATGCTATCGGTAAATATCAATTGACGATCGCGGTGCGCTGTTATACTACTCAGAAAACACTACTATCAATTCAATGCTGACATCCTTATTACGACACCCATGGGACGAGGCAGTGTATTTTCTAATTATTTTTGAATGATAAGGTGGGTGGGCGAGCTCATGGACCTGGACCTGGTCTATGGACCTGGTGTTAAGTGATCAGCGGAGTACATAGAGATCTACAATGGAATTGTGGCCACCCACCTTGGAACATGAGTTCTAAGTATCACTCACTACAATGGCCCGCTCTTTAAATCGAAACGCATTACTGCTCCACGGCATAAATAAGGAAGATAGTGGTGGTACCATCCGTGCAGGCTAATAAGACGTCCTACCACCAGTAATTATGTACGCAAATCATATTTTTTGTGAGTTTTACACGTTGTTATTCCAGCGCCACTCGTGAACGTTGGTTGAATACGTATTTTATTAGAAAAGTAGGTACATGCCTGCGGGATTCGAACACCGAAACAGCCATATCGATAGAAACGAATGCACCGGGTGCTTTATCCCCCAGGCCACGACGACTTCAAACTTTTTTTATATTTATGTCTCAGATGGGTGGACGAGCTCACAGCCACCCTGGTTTTAAGTGGTTACTGGAGCCCAGAGACATCTACAACGTAAATGCCGCCACCCATCTTGAGATATGAGTTCTAAGGTCTGAGTATTGTTACAACGGCTGCCCCACCCTTCAAACCGAAACGCATTACTGCTTCACGGCAGAAATAGGCGGGGTGGTGGTACCTACCCGTACGGAATCACAAGAGATCCTACCACCATTAATTACGCAAATTATAACTTTGCGGGTTTGATTTTTATTACACGATGTTATTCCTTCACCGTGGAAGTCAATCGTGAAGATTTCTTAAGTACGTATTTCATTAGAAAAATTGGTACCCGCCTGCGGGGTTCGAACACCGTTGCATCGCTACATACGAATACACCGGACGTCTTATCCTTTAGGCCACGACGACTTCAAAAATATTTTAGCTCGACATAACACAGCAACAATGTAGAACATTTGAACTATTAGTACATATGTAAGTAATGTATAAAGGAACTTACCTAGTCAGTTCTCCCTAAGGTCTGCGATACTCCCAACGATGTAGTTCACTTTTTATACTATTTTAGAAGTTAGATAAAAGCTTATCATTCATTTATCAATAGAATAGGTCAAATGTTGTTCACAACGAGTGAACGATAAAGTTTAGAATTCAAAATAAAATTTCAAGAATATTCCATATCTTGAATCATGACCCTGAAAACTTATCTTGTTGTTTCAGGCAAATAAGGTTTGGAATTTATACAATATACATAAAAGATATGAAGAGGGCTAAGCTTGGAGTTTCTCTCTACATTCCCGATCCTGCGGACAGAACGGAAAGCAGTCGACGTCGCCCAAAACACGTCATTTCGGATCCTCCCGATCCACCAACGGTGCTTTTAGGTACCTCAAGCACCGGTCATCGTTCTCGTCGAACCGGTAATTATCGAATGGTAAACCGTCGACGTCGCCCAAAGCACGTCATTATGGATCCTCCTGATCCATTAACGGTGCTTTTTGTTACCACAAGCATCGGTCACCGTCGAACCCGTCGCTTACGACGAAGGGCCCGGCGAGTAAATTAAACCACAGACACAGCCCACTGAGTTTCTCGCCGAATCTTCTCAGTGGGTCGCGTTTCCGATCCGGTGGTAGATTCTGCGAAGCACGGCCCTTGCTAGGGTTCGTGTTAGCAACGTCGTCAAGTTTGAGCCCCGCGAGCTCACCTACTAGTTAAGATTACACTGAAATAGCACAGAGGCTGAATTGGCAAGGGGCTGGTCATATTAGCCTGAGAACAGATTGATATAAAATAATTGAGGTAAATTGTTCTTGAATTGAAACCGCGAATTGGCAAACGTACTGCAGAATGCCATCAGGCTCGTTGGAGGGCCGATCCATGCGGGATGGCTGGAAAGAGCTGGATGACAAAAGCCGAGGATAGTTTTTTTTAATACGCTTTTATTAGCTTCAGTCCAGCGATTTCCTCCTGACCAAAAAAAGAAAAAAAAAAGTGTTAAAACTATTCATTTTTGAATTCTGATGATGTTCGTTGTAAATATGTTTTATCCAGTTGTTTGCTTAATTAATACGCTTTTATTAGCTTCAGACGTACGTATGTTAGTATGTAACGGAATCTTTGAACATGATTTTGACCCCCTTCAAAACCTCGGATTACCTCGAAATTTGGTATACTTATTAAGGACCGATGACAATTCAATATTTAAAAAGCATACAGCCCACCTGATGGTGAGTGGTTATCGTCGCCCATGGACGTCAGCAATGTCAAGGGCAGAGAAGCTGTCTACCATTACCGCGTTCAGTGGCTTGTAATTCGAGAGGCCTATGTCCAGTAGTCGACTGCTGTAGTCTGATGGTGATGATTATTACAATAAAATACAGCAGACACGGACAAATACGATCAGTTGATCCCACAATATAACAGAACTTCGGGACTAATGATTGGTCAAAGCTCAGAAAACACCGTTGACGGGAATAAATATTTTCAAGTCTGTGGAGATCTTATCAATTGATGCAGACAGTTGTGCGACTCATGACGACAAATTATGAATCATGTGTAACTTTTGTACATCTTATTATAAATATTATTTTTTTATAAATTCATAAAAGTTTTTGTAATCTAAAATGTTGTGAACTTTTCAACTTAAACAGTGCATTATACATAGCATTATAAGATAATAATGTACAAATTACATAATAATTAACATAATTTAATATAAATTCATTACAAGAGCATCTCCGCGTTTATCGGCTTAACTTTTGAACCGTGCTTATTACGAGCAAACTGAAAAAAAAAATTACAATCGTTCATTGATATTACTTTGGTTTTCTTTTAATGTATCTTATTACCCATGAAGACAAATGGATATGGCCCATGTGATAGTGAGTGATTTTGGGCATTGGCAAAGACTGCTAATAACTTTACCACTTTTTTACAATTTACAATTGACCACTTTGAGCATCCGACTAGGCGCGTCAGCACCTCCACCTCCGCCATTCGCTCAATCATCATATACGACCAACCCATACCGTGGGCCCCGAAGGTCAAGTACTTAGGCGTCACCCTCGACAGAGGGATGACATTCCGCCCCCACATAAAGACGGTACGCGACCGTGCCGCCTTCATACTAGGACGTCTCTTCCCGATGATATGCAGGCGAAGTAAATTGTCCCTTAGAAATAAGGTGACACTCTACAAAACTTGCATACGCCCCGTCATGACCTATTCAACCGTAGTGTTCACTCACGCGGCCCGCACCAACATAAAATCATTCCAAGCTATTCAATCCCGTTTTGGCAGGATAGCCGTCGGAGTTCCGTGGTTCGTCAGGAACGTCGACCTCCATAACGACCTGGACTTAGAGTGCATCAGTAAGTATCTTCAGTCGGTGTCGATGCGCTACTTCGATAAAGCGGCACGACACGAGAACCCTCTCATCGTGGCCGCTGGTAACTACATTCCCGATCCTGCGGACAGAATGGAAAGCAGTCGACGTCGCCCCAAAACACGTCATTTCGGATCCTCCCGATCCACTAACAGTGCTTTTAGGTACCACAAGCACCGGTCATCGCTCTCGTTGCGACGAAGGGCTCGAAGAGTAAATTAACCCTCAGACACAGCCCATTGAGTTTCTCGCCGGATTTTCTCAGTGGGTCGCGTTTCCGATTCGGTGGTAGATTCTGCGAAGCACGGCTCTTGCTAGGGTTCGTGTTAGCAACGTCATCAGGCTTGAGCCCCGTGAGCTCACCTACTAGTTAGGGCGACGCTGATATAGCCTCTCAAGGCTATCAGCTTAGGTAGGAAATAAAAAGCTAATTAGCATATCCCAAACAATGGTTCGGTTAGTGCCTACAGCTTAAAACTTTTTCAGATATAGTTTGGCAAAGTATATGTCAATGCGGTCAAGAAACAACACAGAGGAATGTACAGCTCATTCACAGAATGTAGAGTTCAGAGACTAAAAATGGGCATAAATTGATTGGGTCTAAACATAGATAGGCCACGGTCAAGTTTCAAGGACACGACCTTAGTAATAAAGAAAGCGACGAAGAAGAGAAACATAGATAAGACACTTGAGGTCTAAATGTCTAAATCTAAAATGTCTAAATGGGTCTAAATGGGACTGTTGTGATCCACCTTGAGAAATAAAGCCAAGGGCTCAATAATACTATATGAGAGTGGTCGCAGCCTTCAAGCCAAAGCGCATATCTGCTTCGGCAATAGTAGCCAGGATGATGGATTGGACCCGCTCGAGAAAACAACTCATGAGCAGTAACGAAAGTTAGAATCGGGATAGAAGTTGAGGTAGCGTAAAGGCGAATAAATAAATAAAAAAGGGAAAGCTTTTAATTAAAATATTAAAACACATTAGTGAATTGTAAAAAAATATGAAACCTACGTGCTTCAGTTCTCTGAAAAATAAAATTAATGAAAACAATCTTTTTTTATTTTTTATTAATTAGATGGGTGGACGAGCTCACAGCCCATCTGATGTTAAGTGGTTACTGGAGCCCATAGACATCTACAACGTAAATGCGCCACCCACCTTG